ACACACACACACACACACACACACACGGCTCTGAAGGAAAATCTCTCTTCGTTCGGACTCCAGCACGGTGCAAAGGGAGGAGGGCCCGCACTGTGTCAGGCTGAAAAGGGAGCTGCTGGCGATTTGTGCAATGTGCTGAGCTGGGTCCTGCGCCGAGGTCCCAGACAGCCGGCTCACTACTGCCCAGCCTGAGATGCTCAGGCCTCTGGATCTCTTTCCTCCCGTCTCTCACACGCAGAGCCCCGGGCTCTTCGCCCTGCCCGCCACGAAAGGGAGGAGGCGCACGCCCGCTGCCTTTCCAGGCCTCTATGCGCGTGGGAACAGAGGTGGGAGGAAGGGAGTTTTCAGGCGCAAAGAACAGGAGTTTAAGAGGACTAATTTCACCGCGGGAAATAAGAAGCACAAAGAGCGCCTGCTGCTGCTCTTTACGCTCATACCCAAAGCGAAGCTTCCTCTGGGCTGTGGGGAGATCCCTCCGTCCCCCTTCTGTCCACATCCAGCCCAGCCCCTCTGGGGTTGCGCGCTCGGGTTTAGACCTCCCGTAAGTCCTGACTCGCCCCCATCCCAAGCTGTAAGCCTCGTCCGGCTCCCGGATCCCAGGCCCTGCGCCCGGAGCGCGGAGCCACGCACTTGGAACACCTGGTACCGCGCGGTGCGCCCAGCTCTGCCATGCCGGAGGGAGCCACCGTGTCAACCCTGCTGAGATGGTTTGGATCTGCTTGGATGCCCCAGCCCCTCTTGCTCTGATCTTTGGGGAAGTTCCCTAGGGAAAGGAGAATAAACAAAGTATTTCTCTCCCGAGGCAAAAAAATTAATAAATAAAAATTAGGTACAGATACCTATTTAGATGTTGGGACACTCTCCGGAGAAGAAAAGTTTCCCCAGGGTTCCCAGGGAAGTCTTCCTTCTAGCACATCCGATGCAGAGTAGACTTTTTTGGGTCACTTTCGGAATAGAGTATGAAGCCTCCTGCTGTGCTAGAATAAGTTTTATATGTTCCCCAAATCCCCGCCCCTCAAAAAAAAAATCAGTTGATGTTTTTGAAGTTTTCAAATCAGAATAATGCTTTGGTATTCTGGAATCGGTCTGATTCTAAAGGCCCACAGTTTAACTTTAGTTTAGGAACATTTAAGCTAACCCTCAGAAACTCACATTCCCAGTTAAATATTCTTGATATCAAACACTGATTTAAGAGGAAAGTTTAAGATGTAGGGGGTCACCCTTGACAATTTCTCTACCTGGGAAGCACTGGATACCAGTTTCCAATATACCCCACTTGAAAAACAAAAGAGAAACTCTGTTCCCCCAGAGCATGACCTCTTAGAGAGGTCATGGAAAGAAAGAAAGAATGGAAAGAAAGAGAATTAAAATGAGAATTAAAAAGCAGGAGCTTGCTCCACCAAGAGAAAATCCATGGGTAGCACTAGCTTGAGTGTGGTTGAGTCCATCTTTTTGAGAACAAATCTCATGTTGGCTTTAAACAGGAAAAGAGCTGAGGGTGGAAGTCAGGGTGGAGAGCAGGAAGGATGACCTGTCACCCACGTGCCCTGGCCCAGCCCAGACATTCAGAGCATAGAGGAGGAACAGAGACTTTTCCCCTTCACCCTCCCACTCAGCCACCAATAAATGTCAAAGGCCAAGGGCCTGATACTGATGGCAAACTAGGCCAAAAGCAAAAGGGACCCAGTAGCTCATTCTTAGGGTGTCAGAGGGCCCATGTGATAGAGACATGGATACCCATAGATCTCTATTCCTCTGGGGTCCTTATTCTGAAGTGGCCATCATAGCTCCGTCCCTTTCCATCTCCCCTAAAGAATATCCAATAATTTTAGGAGAGACAAAACACTTGATGATGTGAAGTCTTTGATTTCTGACCTCCCCCTTCCTCTCCTCATTGCCTCTCCCTACATCTCCCACCAATTTTGTCCAGTTATATCTCATCAGGATTAGAAATGCAGTTTGCCTGGCCCACTCTAACTGTGGTCAGACAATTGCCAGAAAGGTGGTGGTTCTAACTAAAAGCCGACACAGAGAGCAACTGGGGCTCTGTATGTGCATGTGTGCAGTGTGTGCATGCATGAGGCATGTGTGCGTGTGAGACAGAGACAGAGAGGGTCCATTGGTGGTGGTGATGTTGGTGGAAATGAGTGATTTTTACCAGGTTTTCTTTTTCTTTTTGCTTCCCACTTGTACCTTCCCTGCAGGTTCCACTCACTTTTAATGGAACTCTTTGAGAGATTTCTTTGAGAGAGATGGAGAGGTGCTCAGTGTTGGGTTATGGGGAGGAAAACCAAGCTGAATATGGAGAGGTGACATGGAGAAGAGCTTTGGGGCAGGAGCTCAAACCCAGCCTTATGTGTGTGAGAGAGCGAAGGAGAATGACACTCCAATAGAACCTATTTGCTAGAGGAAATTGGGTTTAAAGGAGCAATCACTCCTTTCAAAGGAGCTCCTCCCATCTTCTCCAAACACAGCCCAAAGCTGTCCTAGACGATGAATGCAGCTCAGTGCATCAAAGCAATTGTTCCTATTTTCATTATTCACAGAGAATCTTTGAATGTACCTGTTAAGGTGACAGACCTTTTAAAAGGGAAGTTTTTTTTCATGCAATTAAATGGTGCATTTACTAGGCTTCTATTAACATAATTTAATATAAATCTATTTTATAAATCTTTAGGCTCACATTACTGAAAATTGAGCATCTCTTGAAAATATGCCCACATCTCTTCCTTAAATCACATAGAATAGAATGCAAAGACTTGCTATTCTACCCTACCTAGAAACATTAAAAGTGATAGAATCCTTTGTATTGTCTTCTGTTAATGGTAGGGGTATGAAGTAAAGGGGCAACTTGTCTCATAGAAGATGAGGAATTCCACAAGGACCCAAGGCTTCTACACCCAACATCCTGGCACTTGGAGTGGGCAACACAGGCTGGAACTAGGGAGGGGCCAAAGAAAAACAGAAACTTAAAGACATCTCTTAGGATCAGAGCTGAATCAGAACTCAGATTAAAAAAAACCAAAAACTAAAACTAAAAACGAAAAAAAAAAAAAAAAAACAGCAAAACTCCAACTTGCAAATAAATTTGGATTCCAGTTTCTTCTGTTTGGGGAAAGCAAATCTGAAGCCTGTGAGACCTCTAATGCTACTCCATGTGGTAATAAATACCCTTGTCTGTTGCCATAGGCAGACTACTTATTCTCAAGTGTACCCTCCAAAATCCTGGGGATCCTATTGTCTCTGAAAATAGTGTTTTGTGCTCTCTTAATATACTGATGTCAATGCCACTCTTCGGCAGTGGGTGCTGCTTTTCTTCAAGCTGAGCCCTGTGTTTTCCTGAACCCTTGCTGTATCTTTGTTGAGCCTTCTAAATCCCAAACCCAGGAAGGCCCCAGGGGCTCCCCTGAGTGAATCCTAACAGATCGGAAGTGTATGCTGTGTGCTTAGGAAAGTAACTAGTTTCAGATTAATGAAGCAGTGACAATTTCAATCTGCTTAAAGACGGAGGTTGGCACTGCCCAGGCCTGAGCGTGGGGAGCTCGCCAGGCTGGGCTTTATATTGTCCCCTTTTCTGAAGAGCAGACAAAGATGGATAGAGAGACATTGAAAAGCAAGGGGAGTATTTCAAACAGTCTCATAAAGCAGGCTGTCACTTTAAGACAAGAACCATAGTGCTTTGATGACTTTGTATTAGCTGCACCATTTCAAACAGGAGACTTAAGTCTCTAGCGAGAGGGAGGAAAGGGGAGAGAGGAGAGAGAACGGGGAGAGAGAGAGAGAGAGAGAGAGAGAGAGAGAGAGAATGAATGTAGTAATATTTAGCCTGTGAGCA